CATTGGCAACCTGGAATATCGCAACCCCACCATCTCGCATCACTGGCCGTCAATTGCAGCGTCACTTTCTTGTCTCCCGCCGTTATCGATGGTGAAACCGTACAAATTCACCTGCAGCCCGCACACTTCCACCCGCGCCCCGGTATTGCTGTTGCACATCCAACCACCACTAAACGGCTCACACTGACCACCATCAAATAAAACGGCTGGCTTTGAGCGACCAAACACGCCGAGAACCAACCAAGCACCAACAGTCAAGCCACAGCCTGAGCTGCCCTGCCGCGCCTGCACCCACGTCTGTGCTGTGCTTTACAATTTCATTTCGCAACTGCCTGCCTGCATTCTGGACATCCTGCCCCGAAAAAGACAAAACATTCTAGCCCCGCTATCGTTTTTTTGTCTTTATTTTCTGCCCTCTCAAAGGTCAGTGTGTGTCACCGTGTGTGTGTTCCAGGCATCTGGAAACATCCATGACCCATCCGTCGCCCGCTAGATTCTTAGACCGACCCTGCCACTCCTCGGGCCTTATTACCTGTCTCCCGTGTGTCGTCGTTCCGACTCGAGCCTTTTTCGTCTGAACCTCCAGATAAACCAAAGGCGCACCACCACCACCAACACCACCCGTCCACGCCTGCCGAATCAACAACATCCTGCAGCTACCTTACTGCACACTCCGAGCCACACAGCTTCGCCAAATTTCAGGCCAACCCACCAGCAAACATTTTTCTCAGATTCTGCACCCTAAGCAGCCTGCTCGCTTCCGCCTACCTCCCCTCTTCCATTCTTCACAACCTCGCTTCCGACAACACCTCCGCCCCCGCCTTTCACCTGCCAAAAAATTACCCCACCATGAGCAACAAGCAGCCAAACCTCTACGCCTACCCATCGGTCAGCGAGCTCGCGCCCGCTCTGCGAGCCTACGTCATCCAAGCACAGAATGCCGGCTTGAGTCGTCACGGCGCCTTCAAGGTCGCCGTCTCTGGCGGCTCCCTCCCCAAGACGCTGGCGCAAGCCCTGCTCACTCCGTCCTCCGGCCCCGAAGACACCGTCCACTTTGGCAAGTGGGAGATCTTCTTCGCCGATGAGCGCGCCGTGCCCCTTGACCACGAAGACTCCAACTACGCCCTCCTGAAGAAGGAGCTGCTCGAGAAGATCCCCGAGGAGCTCGGCGCCCCGACTGTCCACCCCATCGACACCACCTACCTCAACGACACCCAGGAGCTGGCCGACCAGTACGAAAAGACCCTCGTCACCAGCTTCGCCAGCCGCGACAGCGTGCGCCTGCCCATCTTCGACCTCCTGCTGCTCGGCTCCGGCCCCGACGGCCACACCTGCAGCTTGTTCCCCGGCCACGAGCTCCTGCGCGAGACCACCGCCTGGGTCGCCCCCATCGAGGACTCCCCCAAGCCCCCGCCGAAGCGCATCACCCTCACCCTCCCCGTCGTCAACCACGGCGTCAAGATCGCCTTCGTCGCCACCGGCGGCGGCAAGAAGGACATCATGAAGAGGATCTTTGAGCACGGCGACGGCCTCCCCTGCGCCCTGGTCAACGAGGGCGCCGGCGACCGCGTCAGCTGGTTCGTCGACAACCCGGCTGTCGAGGGCGTAAGCTTCCCCCGCCGCTCCTTCCTTTGAACGGGGGCAAAAGCGGGAAGTCGCGGGAGATTAGAAGAGAGAAAGCCTGGAGATGCGTGGGGAGGAACCCGACTTGCGCGTATTAAAAAAAACCACATTGCTCATTTCAGATAGACAAGGGACCCAGACGAAACGGCATGTCTCTAGAAGGGATGCGATTGCGAAGGACCAAAAAGGCAAAAGAAGGCAAACCCAAACAACAGTCTGTCCGCGGGGTCGCGGGCGCTTGTCGCGGATATCATCATTGGGAGCGAAAGCTGGATCTTTATTCGTCTTTGCCATATTGTTTCTATCTATCGGCTTCCTCTTCTTCGCTGTTCCCCCTTCTTTGATTTTCGCCTTCTGGTCGCAAGTCCCTCCCAGCTTTGATATCCCACCCACTACCAATGTCAAAACAAAAAAAAACCAATTATGATTTCATGATATGAAAGGAATGAGGGGATCGCCGTTTTTTACCACCCAGTGTCTGATGGACTCTCGGTTCACGCTTAGGAAAAGGAATCTAGAGAAATAAAATTCCAAAACCAAAACATTTCCCACAACACACAGGTGGCGGCCGTTGCTGTTCAACGTGGCCATCCAATGACTTCGAGCCAATAAATCATCTGCATGACTAGTCTGATCTCTTCTTGATTATTGCCGTAGAGGCAGGTGGCAATATGTAAAAGGCAGCTTGCTTGGTTGCCTTGCTTCTATGCAAGTACCTTGGCGGGCTAGCGCCACCTACCTCACCCCGCGGACGACGATCTCCGTAGGGCTGAGAGAGAAGGAGGATCTCCGGTTTTGCCGAATGTATGCACCCATCATTTTGTCTCACGGGTGATCGGCGAAGAACGATGAGCTTCCGATGCGGGTAGGAAATCTTGCGGGCCGGGTGGTGTCTGTGTGGGTTGGTGCTTGCCGCGATGCAGGCCTGGTATGCTTTGGGTGAGATCGTGGTAGCGTCAATGACAAAAACGACAGGATAACAACACCACAAACTCCTATCACGACAGACCCAGCAAACAAAAAATGACAGTCAAAACGAAAGTCAGAAAAAGCAAAAGATGGGACACGCGTCCCCACCTCTAGGCCCTTTCCTGTAAGAAGATCGCGTGACGAGATTCGAACTTAGCGCCCCTCTAGGATAACCAGGAATCCTTCCGAGGAATTTGTTTGAGCTAGGTGATTACCAACTGGGTCACGCCGTCGCTGTTGAACTGGTTGATGGCGATGGGACGGAAGTTGAATAAGTAGGCAGGCAGGCAGGAAGACGCCTTGGTGATCAGGAAAGGGCAGGTGGTGGTGGGGCTGTGGTGAATGTGAGGAAGGAGGCAGCGAGGCTGGAGGTTGGGACGGAAGGCGCGGGCAAGTAAGTACCTTAAGTGAGGAAGGCTCTCGCTTCATCGTTGAAGACGAGGTTTCGAGGCTGGAGATTTTCCCAGAGACAGAGGAAAGAACCCCCAATATAAGAACTTGGAAAGCAACCGGACGAACCATGAGACACCAGGCAGCTTTTCCTAACAAACATACATAAAAGTGCAGGCTATTGCTCTTAGAAAGTCTTTCGAAACAAGTCAATTCTTCTCGAGCCTTTTGACTGTCCCTGAAAGGTAGAACTGAACGGAATGAGAATGCTTTATGACGGTGCTATGTTTCCCACTCAATACATACATTGTCTTCATCAGCCTTTACCGATGCCGGCTCGTGATGGTTCGATACTGATTCACAAAGCCTCTAATCGATCAGCAATTCAAATCAGAAATTGCGGTATGAGCGGGCCCTCACAGACTTCATACATCCGAGACCGTCCACATTCAGTTGTGACAGAAGAGTTGAGAGATGCGATTTTCTTAAATCTCACGAAGTGATCATACTATGATATAAGTACCTACGTATGTAGTCGCTCTTGTTCTCTTTGCCAGATATCCGACATTGATCATGTCAATGCTTGCAGTCTTGAAGACACCGGTACCACTATTTATTGGCGTGGATACTCCGTCTCACTCTTCTTGGCAAAGCAGTGAGGGCCTACTGTCGATTGGTTTGAACATGTCGCACATGAGGGGTTTCAACTTCAAGGACCCCAAATTAGCATGAATTCTCCGACTTGGCGACGTGAAGTGATACCCTTTGGAGCATTTCCTGTCCACCGTCAGACTTGCTTAGAAGGTATTCTGACTTCATACGCCCGTAAGCTTCTCAGCCGCAAGTTTCGAACGCGTGATCACATGTTTCAAAGTCATTGAACGGCCAGGACGGGGGCATCTGAGGCTGTCGTGGGTGTCGTGGATGTCGTGGCGCTCCTATCAGAATGTTCCCCTGACAACGCCAACGTTCGAATCTTTCTGACGTCGCTTCGGATTTACAACTGAAAGAAGGCGGTATACTAAAGTTCTGCTCTGCCGCGTTCCAGAGTCCTTCTGAGCCTGTGAGATAAGAGCTCCAGTCTGTCAAAGTCGTTATGAACTACGCCATCAGGAAAACAAGAGGGGAGAGACTTCGTCGACTTCAGATCTAATATGTCTATTCCACGGCCCTCATATGGTAGTCTTGGAATGAGATGCACCGGGAATTAGGCTAGCTTCGACCACAAGGGGGGATTTGAGCACAATGCCAGCTAGTCGGCATAACATCGTCGTCTCCAAACTCTGAGGTGGCTTCAGAACAATGCTAAGTTAGCGACTATGAAGGGTCAAGAAGTAGATAGACAGGTTCTAGTGCGACCTAGTTCTCGTAAATATTAACAGCGCATCCGGTCTCAAATATTGCGAGCGTTCCCGTTGCGGTGTAAGTAGCCTCACAATCGAGGCATGAACACACATTGTATTCGGTTTTCACTCACGTAGATGCCATCTGATTGTCACCCATTGAACTTTTGCTCCTCGATCAAGTTAGACTGGGCTATCAAATTGAAAACGTTACTGAGTACTCATAATATGCTGCGGACAGAAGGTTCGGATGTTGACACGGATTCTCTGGTGACAAAGCGGGTGCTCCGATGCGCATGTTTCCGATTGGAACCTACTGGTTCACTTCTAACAAAACGATCTGTTAAATGAGATTCATGTTGCAAATCCAGAACAGAGAAAGTCCCAATGCCCGCTCTTATTGATTTCATATCACGATCTACCAGACGCCATTCAAACGATTTGCGCTTTCTCTCTCTGAGTTCCTTACCAAGTTCGTACAGCGAGGTGTGATCAGACCTTTGCAAGTATCGAGACAACATCAAAAATGCCTACGTTGAGTACCCTTTTGGCCAGGCGCAACCTAGATAACGTTGTATATCTATTGAAGGATCTCAGGGTATCATTGTTATCCAGGTCTCCGTTTAAGTACCTTGCGAGATAGCTTCATAAGTAAAAAAGAAGCAACTTCGCAGAATGCTGCAGAAGTATCTACGTACGCAACCCTTCCCCAACTTCTTCCTCGCCGAAGACTGGATTCCTCCCAAGCATCCCGACACCACCATCAATCTGATAGCCAACGACGTCACTCTCGCAATCATCAACTCCAATACACTTTTCTCAGCTCCGAACATGTCAGAACGTAAAGTCATTTCCAAGTACTACCCGCCCACCTTTGACCCTAGCCGGCTGCTACCGGTACGATACAGGGGGAAGGCAGCTGCACCGGAGGGGCAACAAGTCCGATGGGCGGCACCCTTTTCGATGCAATGCATTTCATGCGGCGAGTATATCGGAAAGGGGCGCAAGTTCAATGCCAGGAAGCTGACACTAGACGAGAGTTACCTGGGTGCTATCCACATCTACCGCCTCTTCATTCGTTGCACACAATGTGTAAGTCCACCTTCCCCCACCCTCTGACTTGAATTCCAAGGCCTAAATCGCTAACCAGCCTCATTAGTCGCGAGAAATCACTCTTAGAACCGCTCCCCAAGCAAGCGACTACGTCTGCGAGACTGGCGCCAAGCGGATCACGGAACCATGGCGCGTAGGCGATGACAAATTCAACGACACAGCAGACGGGCGCCCAGATCGACTAGAGCGAGAGCACGAGAAACGCGAGAACACCGAAAAGACCATGATGGAGGATCTCGAAGAAGAAGCCGTCGCAAACGAGACACGCATGGCTGTCGCCGATGCGCTGGACGAAGTCCGCGCCCGAAACGCCCGACTGGAAAGGCTTCGTCGAGATGGGATCACTGTGGGTAAGGACGCTGCTGTGGCGGCGGACCAGAAGGATCAAGAGGACGCAAGGCGCGCATTCTATTTCCATGCGAAGACTAAAGCGCAGTCAGAGGGCCATATTGACACTCACTCCCTCGCCAGATCGAGACGGCCTCCGAAGCAGAACAAGTTGCTGCCAGGGCTGAAGCAAGCGCAAGCAAATGCGCCGCCCACAAATTACTCGTTGGTGGACTATGGCTCTGACTCTGACTGATTCTCTTCAGTCTCAACACTTTGGTCATCGCAGGAAGTCGTCTTTGATGTAATATTCCCTCGCCAGGCATCGGTTATGGAAGGGGTGCTGTGGAAAAGCTTCTTCATTGATCGGACTGACGCACACCATGCATGGTTTCTGATCTCAATGTATCCAAATCATGGCACTTACAGGAGGATACCCCGAGTCCGCTGATATGCTAATCAATAATAAGAATTTTGGTGGTGTAGAAGAAAAAGAAAGGGAAATCCTTCGCTGATTCACTCGCTCGTCGATTTTGGCGGCACTTCTTTACTAGCAAAAATTATCCAGTCATCATCCTCATCTCAGATCGGGCCACTCGTGACACTGCCTTGGCGGCTCACTGGGCTCCTTGCTCCCTTTGCCTCTTTTCTCCGGAGATGAGAGATATGTAAAGCCTTGCTAGCCCCCTCTTTTGCTTATCCCCACCAGATCATTCAAAACGGATGCGGGAAACAGACAATACTGTTAAAACAAGTGCAATCTTAGCGTCAATGCTGTCATTGGGGAACGGATTTCGCAAAGCATGTCATAGTCATATATCTGCATTAGGGAAACCAACAACTTCCACTTCAGTGTTCTCATCTGGCTTCCGGAATTGGGATTGGATCTGACGGCAGGTATATAAAGAAAAATCACTGATTTTAAGGGGCAGAATTGCTGCGTCGTTGATAGCGTTGGCGGGAAGAAACGAGGTCGCTGCTTGTATATAATATAACAGAGCTCAAGCATCCAGAAGTGGCTGAACAAGAGGAATCCAAGAGCCGAAGGTCGGCTTTACTGTATTCTACATACGAATGCTGGACGGATACACGTCCCCTATCCGTGAAACCTCAGCACCAGCTTCCTGTGTTCATGGGATTCTCTTCTATCCCTCGCCGGCTTCTTCCATAGTTTATCTGCCAAGTATTCAGAAAGGAGTTCTATTTTAGGAAGGCAAAACACCGCAATGTACTTATCGGGTCTTTGACTGAGCCAAAACCTGACAAGAGTAATATTCAGCTCCGTGGGTGTAATTGGGCTCGTTCTCTGCATTGCGATTTGTTTGTGAGCCAACAAAAAAAGGCTAGTTGTCGTCGTCATTTTATGTGAGTCTACGAAGCCATCGTGAGCGACATGGCCCCACGCTCTCCACGCGTGAAACCCTTCTCAAGGTCGTTCATAGATGATGATCCGATGAGTGGGCTAACAGCCTACGTACCTTGATATTCTCAGGCCGAATACATGTCGAATTACTGCCGTTCGAACGTAGTATAAATATCAAGGCTCCTGACGAGTCCCTTCAGAGACGCCCAAGCGCTGTTGGGAAAAATAAGTCTCCTATGGGACTTGAAAGTAATATCAGACAGGATTGGTTCACTAACCAGCCGTGAAGGCCCCGAGGTCTTGACGCAGTGCATCTCGTCCCTACATCCGTTGGTTGTCACCGTCTCCGTCCAGCATTTATTCCGACAGGTAATACCGCTTACATTCTGCCGTCTCGGGATTTTCAAACACAGCACGAAGAGGTCTCGTCTGGCTTAAATCTGCTACGTTGGGATGTTCGCCTTCGCAACCGGGGTTTCGGTGAAGTGGGGGCAATTTCTTGCTGGAGAAGCGAGAATTTGGACGTCATGTCGAGATTTTATAAGTGCGCCAGGAGATGTAATACCAGCCTCTTACAATACCAAAGGAGCTGGCAGCTACCATGTGTGGTCGAAGGGAACATTCATCATGAATATTCACCCCCTTTCCGTCTCGACGACAACCACCACCGATACACCCCCTCACTTACTCAAAGCCCGCTCCCGGATAAAGAACGTCGACGCAAAAGCAAGCACCAAAAACGCCGTCATCGGGACCATGGCCCCCAACGTAGCCACCTGGTAACTCCCCCTCACCTCGCCCTGCACGCCCGGCTCCAGCTCGCGGATATAGTCCAAACTCTCCCTCACCCTCTCCTCAATCCTCCGCGCCTCCTCCCCGTCGCTCAGCCTCGCCCGCAGCTGCGTCCTTAACACCTGCTGCAGCACCGCCGAGCACACGCTGATCCCGATACTGCTGCCCAAGCTCCGGAACAGGTACGAGCACGCCACCACCACCGCCGTGTCCTCCACCGCCGCGTTCGACAGCAGCGCCACCAGCGTCGTCGTGATCCCCGCCCCGCCGCCCAGCGCCAGCACCGCCATCCCGCCGACCACCCCCGCCGTCGACCGTACCCACAGCGCCGCCACGACCGGCACCAGCGCCGCGCACATCAGCCCGAACGCCGCCACCGTCAGCTTGTAGTACCGCCCCGTCCGCTTCATAATCACGCCGCTGCCCACCGACGCAATCACCGAGAAGATCATCGCCGGGACGAGGAACGCGCCCGCCTGCGTCGCCGACGCGCCCTGCACGGCCTGGAAGAAGAGCGGCAGAAAGAAGATGCTCGCGATATGCCCCGCCACGCCGAAGAAGTTGGTGAGGTACCCCGCGAACAGGCTGCGGTCGAAGATGATGTGCCCCGGCGCAAACGGGTGGCTCGCGACGCGCATCTCGACGAAGACGAACACGCCGAACAGCACGGGGGCCGCCGCCAGCCCCGCGAGCGTCACGCCGTTCGCCCACCCGCAGTTCGAGCCCGCGTCGAGCCCGACCAGCAGCGCCACGACGGCGGCGACCAGACACCCGGCCCCGAGGAAATCGATGCGCCTGACCTTCTCGCGCCAGTGGTCGTGGCTGGTCTGCGGCAGGTCAAGCACAAAGTACACGGCCGCGAAGGCCGCGACGCACAGCGGGACCTGGCCGATGAAGGACCAGCGCCAGCCGACGGAGTCGGCGAGCAGCCCCCCGAGCGGGGCGCCGGTGGAGGTGCCGGCGGCGAAGATGATGTTGATGTAGCCCTGCCAGACGCCGCGGTCGCGCAGGGGCACGATGTCGGACATGAGGATGCTGACGACGCTGTTCATGCCGCCGCCGCCGATGCCGGCGACGGCGCGCGCGAGGCACAGCTGCGTGAAGGTCCGCGCGAGGCCGCAGCCCAGCGAGCCGAGGGCGAAGACGGTGTAGGCGAAGAGGAGGCACTCCTTGCGGCCGAATATGTCCGAGAGCTTGCCGTAGAGGGGCTGGAAGGACGTCAAAGTGATGAAGTAGCTGGCTTGCGGTCAACAACAGACACTTCAGAGAGGGCGAGAAAATACGTACGCTGTCGCCAGCCAGCTCGTGTTGTTTAGAGCGTGTAATTCACTGCCTATCTTGGCGTATGTGGCTACGGTGAGAAGCTGGTCCACGGCGCAGAGGTAGATCTGGGTATATCCCGGGTGAGCATGCGAGTCGCGCGGGAGACTGCGGGGCAGAAGTAAGACCTACGCCGATGCCGATGGCCGGGAGCAGAAGGTGCATCTTTTTGGCCATCTCGGGGTTGCCGTCCCTCTTGTCGTCGCGGCCAGCGCCGTCATTTTGGATGGCGCCGGCGCCGTTGCCGTTGCCATTGCCGTTGACGGGCTCCGGGTCGGTGCTGCGCAGAAGGGGGGACGTCTCCGACGGGGCGGAGGCGCCGTTCGGTGAGCCGGTCATTGTAATATGGGGCCAAAGGTCAATTGGTGCTGGAAAAAAGAATTGAAGACTACTTTTCTTCTTCTTCTTCCGTCCCCTCTGGTTTTCGACAAAAGCAACAATCGCCAATCTCCGCTCTTTTCAATTCTGCACCGCTATCTCTCCAACCCCCCCGTCGTCTCCTCACCAAAGATTGCAAATCCGGCTGCTGCATACGGTATCGCTCTCCCCTCGTCGGGGCCGCACTTCGGAGACTTGCCCGCGATAAGCCGGGGGCCCGTCCCCTATCGGGTATGACGCCATGCAAGCGATAACACACGTGCTCTCTGGCACCGCGGCTCAACGAGATATGGTGCCTCATCTCATCTTTCTCACGGTCCGTCCACGATGAGACTGGGGAAAACCGGATGAAGCTTATACAGGTATCAGATGCCGCGATAGCCTCAGTTATGGCGCTGATGCGGCCTGCAGAACTCTCTGCAGAACTCTGCAACAACTCAAGCGGATAGCAAAAACTCTGTCCGCGGCAACCGGCAAAAGAAGCTAACCACGAAAACCATGAATTGAGGGGCCGCGGCAGAGCAAAAGTGGGAGAATGCGACGGTCCAACGGCGCCGGAGATCAAAAATCACCTTGGTGTCCACTCGGACGCCCCCAAACTCCAAAGATCTCGACCAGGCGCGGGCTTCGACCGAATCTCTCCGCGGCCCCTAGCAATCAATGATCAATCACCTCGTCAATCAATTGATCGGTCAGCGGGTAATGCAGGCGACGGACATCGGGGCGGGTAAAAGAGACGGATGGAATGGGCGGATCGCAACTCATCTTAAAAATCCTGCCGGTGTGAAACAAACCGTCGCATAGCTGCTCCATCGACACTTGCGAGGGGTCCAAAAGTCATTTCAATGTTAATTAATTTTCCGCGATGCGGGTGCCCGGAGGCGCGGGCTGCATGCTGCGATGGCACCCCTCGAGCGCGTTGGGATTCGAATCCTCGCGACAGAGTTTGTCAACAAGGCCTTTGTTGGTTTGATGAATGGGCTGCGTCTTTTTTCTTTTCGTGCCAAGGTTGAAAGCGTTGGTTCCTTTCATCAAACGGCCGCTTGACCTAAGGTAGTAGGACGAACCCCGTAACGGCACGATGCCGCGGTATTGCTTCTAGTCTGCGGTGCGACTCTCGCGAAGTCTGCAGTCTGGCGATGAAGAATATCTCGTCCATCTTCTGAACTTTCAGCATTGAACAGTGGCATCGGTGCAACGACAGTGCATCTAACACCTCTCGTGTCGTCCCAACTTTGTGTACCTGGGCGGCGGGAACCGACCTTCCGTCGTCATCGAATTCAGGGGTGGGCGAATGCACAGGTCGCAGGGAAAGCACGGCGCCTTCGGTCTGATGTATCCACCAGGACGCGCCCGGGGCATGCTTGTGAGACTTGGACGACCGAGAAGTCAAATGGCTCAAA